GGACAGACCCCACAGCCCCTGAGAGATCCCTGACAAGGACAGACCCCACAGCCCCCGAGAGATCCCTGACAAGGACAGACCCCACAGCCCCCGAGAGATCCCTGACAAGGACAGACCCCACAGCCCCTGAGAGATCCCTGACAAGGACAGACCCCACAGCCCCCAGGGACCCATGGCAGGGATGGGCCCTGGAGCCCCTCGGGGATTCCAAGCAAGGAAAGACCCTGCAGCCCCCACAGGACCCCCCACCCGGGACAGACCCTGCAGCCCCTGGGGATCCCCAGCAGGGACACCACCCGCAGCCCTCTGAGGACAGGGCACTCACCAGCTGCAGGAGGCTGTAGAGCTTCTCACTGAGCACCACAAACACCTTCTCACTGGCGAAAGCCTGCAGAGACCCCACGTGAGCAGGGGAACGTGGGCAAAGCCCCCTGCCCACGGCACGTCCCCGGGTGGACTCACCTCCTTGTAGGCCTGCAGGTAGGACAGCACCTGGAGAAAGTGGTGCCGGGAGGTGGCATCTGCTGGCACCTTCCCAAAGCACAGCAGGGCCGGCTGTGTCAGGTTCACCATCAACCTGTGAGGAGGTGGAGGGGTGTGAAGGACCCCTGCCCAGCAAGGAGCCCCCGCAGGGCCACCCCTGGCCATGAACCCGCCCCCCGATACCTGATGACGGCGTCAAAGAGCACTTTGTCCTGGGGGTACTGCACCATGATGGGCAGGAGATCGTTCTGCAGGATTTGGGCCGCCCCCAGCTGCTGCCGCACGTCCCGGGTCTCGTCCTCATGGCGCAGGTACCGGATCAGGTCCTTGACGCTCTCTGTGGACACGGGGCCGTCAGTCCCCGCCGTCCCCGGCCCCACCGCCCCCCTCCTGGTGCCCACCTACCCAGGCAGTCGGGCTCCCGGTGATACACATCGCCCTCCAGGTAGCCCAGGGCGCTGCAGGTAGCCAGGAGCTCGCAGTTCATCATGTACCAGTCCATGCAGCGCGGGGCTGCGCACGGGACCAGCACCGGGGGCCACCTGCGGGCCACTGTCAGCACCGGCTGCCCCCCGAGGTTCTCCCACCCGCTCTGGGCTCCCCCGGTACAGCCCCACCTGCCGGTCCCGGTACCCCAGGTCCCGGGGCACCCTCCAGTTCCAGTTTCCCCAACACCGACGAACATCCCATGCCTGGTTCCCCTCGGTACCGGACCCCACGGCGACCCCCAGGCCCCGGTACCACCTCGATTCCAGCGCACCTCCCGGTCCCGGTCCTCCCCAGCACCGGCGCACCCCAGAGCCCCGCCGGTTCCATACCAGGCCCCGGTTTCGGTTCCCCCCAGTCACGGAGTGCACCTCGATCCCAGTCGGCCCCGCTGCCTTCCCGATCCCGGAGCGTTCCCCACCCCCCACTACCCGATCTCAGAACCTCCCCCCCCCGATCCCGGATCCCTGCCCCGAATCCCCCCCTGATCCCGGAGCACTCCCCGGTTTCCCCGATCCCGGAACACCCTTCAAAGCCCGCAGCACCCGGAGGTCCCGGTTTCCCCGATCCCGTATCAACCCCCCCGTTCCGATCCCGAATCACCCCCTGGTTTCGGTAACCCCGGATCACCCCCAGTCCCCGGTCCCCGCCGGTCCCGGGACACTCCCCGCCCCCGAACCGCCCTTTCCCCCGATCCCGGATCCCCGGGCCCCCGTCCCGCTCACCGCCGCCCCGTCCCCGCCGCCCTCACGGCCGCGCTCCCGGTCCCGGCGCGGGGGCGGCGTTACACAACCGCCCCAATTCCCGCGGGCCGAGACCCCGCCCCCCCGCACCCTTCAAGCGGCAACTCCCGCCGAGCTGCCCGGTGGTCCCGCAGATACCCCTCCCCTCCCTCCACACACCCCCCTGCCGTCGGGCGGCTCGGTGCGCCCCGAATCCCCCTGATCCCCCTGCCCTCGCCCCCCGCCCCGCGGCGCTGACGGGTGGAAGACTGGAGGGGCTCATTGCGAGGAAGGGACGCGGTGGCGGCGTTGCCCTTTTAAGAACGATGCCGGCTGGGCGGGGCCTACGCCGGGCGCGGGAACGGGCGGCACCTCCCGCCACACGCGCGTGGCCACCGGGTGGGCTCCGGTGTCCCCCCACCTCGGTCCCTCCCGCTTCCCGGCGCCGGGCACGGCCGCGAGCGGTTACCAAAATAAAAGAGCAGGTTTAATTCACCGAACACAGAAGTCCCGCCGCGGCGGGGCGGGGTGGCCCCGGCCCGGTACGGGCGGCCCCGGGCAGCCCGGTGGCCGGTTCCCGGCAGCGGGGCCCCGCCGCCGCCCGCCGCGCCGCGCCGCACACACACGCACCACACGCACCGCGGCGGCCCCGTCACAGCAAAGCAGCGGCGGGCGCGGGGCCGCGCCCCGGGACGGGCCCCGTTACAGCCCCTGCGTCTTCAGCTCCAGCGGCTCTGCCGGCGGCTCGGGCGGCGGCTCGGCGGCGGCGGCGGTGACGGCGGTGACGGCGGTGGGGGCGGGCGGCTCTCCCTTGAGGGCGGCCAGGCGCTCGGCCAGGCTGCGCGGCCGCGGGCACAGCGCGAACTCGTACAGCACCGCGCCCAGCGCCGCGCCCAGCAGCGGGCCCGCCCAGTACACCTGCGGGGGGGCGGCGTGGGCACCGGCACCGGGGGACCCCCGGCCCCCCGCCCCACGGGGCACGGCACCCTCCCCGCTGACTCCCGGGCACCGGACCCGTCTCCCGGTGAGCGGGGGGCGGCGTCGCGTGTGCCCCTCCCCGGGATATCGGGGGGGCAGGATCCGTCTCCCGGTGAGTGGGGGGCGGCCGCTTCTTTCCGCCCGGGATACCGGAGGGTACTCAGCACGCCGGGGTGCTGCTGTCACCGTGGTGACACCGGACGCAGCGGCTGGGGCAGGACAGGGACAAGCGGGGAGGGACTGGGGGGGCCCGGGGCGGGTTTGGGGGTCCCCGTCCCCCCCCACTTACCCAGTGGTTGGCGAAGTTGCGGGTGATGACGGCAGGGGCGAAGGAGCGAGCGGGGTTCATGCTGGCGCCCGTGTAGTGGATCTATTCCGGGGGGATGGGGCGGTGGGGGGCTGCACAACTGCCCCCCAGCCCCATCCCAGCCCCCGGGGTCCCGGCACCGGGGTCCCCGCGGCCGCCCTTACCCCGAAGAGGTGGCCGAGGGCGAGGGAGAAGCCGACGGGCACGGCGGCCATGGCCGGGCGCCCGTCGTGACGGTCGTCGAAGCTGGCGAAGACGCAGAGGACGAACTGGGCGGTCAGGAGCAGCTCCACCACCGTGCCCTGGCCCGGGCCCACGCCGGGGTGCAGCTGCGCGGGGAGAGGGCTCAGCATCCCCCCATTCCCCCCCAGCACCGCAAACCCCGCCTCGTTATCCTTCCACACCCCAAAACCCCACTGTACCACAAAACCCTTCTCATCCCCAAACTCCTCCCTGATGCCCAGCCCCTATTACTGTCCCACATCAATCCGAACCCCAAAACATCTTCCGGACCCCCCCAGTCAGACCCCTCAAATACCTCGGAACCCCAGAACCCCCATTACAGCCCCACGGTACCGCAGATCCCAAAACACCCCCTGGACGCCCCCAATCCTTCCAAACCCTCATTACAGTCCCAAAGTACCTCAGACCCCAAACCCTCATTACAGCCCCCACCCCACTTCCACACCCCACGGTCCCCCAGCCCTGCAGACACCCCCAGCCCCCCGATCTCCCCAAGCCCCTGCTCACCGCGCTGAGGCCGAGGGTGCCGCGGACGGGGCCCGGGGTCACCCCATAGAGCACCCCGGCGCCGGCCAGCATGCCCAGCACCTGGGCCAGCAGGTAGCCCAGGGCACGGGGCAGGGAGAGCTGCGAGGCCATCAGGAAGGCCAGCGTGATGGCCGGGTTGACGTGGCCCCCGCTGACATGGCCCAGCGCCTGCACCAGGGTGGTCTGGGCCAACCCGAAGGCCAGGGCGGCCCCCACGACGCTGGGGGGGCCCGGAGCCCAGCGCAGGGAGGCCCCCAGCCCCAGCAGGGCATAGAGGAGGCTGCCCAGGAACTCGGCCAGGACGGCCCTCCAGAAGGCGGACGAGCGCAGCTCCCGCATGGCCTGGCCCCGCTGCCCTCCACGGCCCCGCTCCCCTCCCCGGGGGCCGCCCGTGCCCACCTTTATAAGGCCCCCCCGGGCCGGCCCCGGGGGTGGGACCCCACCTCCGCCACCCCCCGTTAACCGCTTCGCTGCCCCAGACACGGGACAGGGGACACGCGGCCAGGAACGCCCCCCGAGCCCCCCGAGCAGCCCCGCACCCCCGATAGTGGGGACCCCCCCAGAGCTGCACCGCCCCCACCCCTGGGGTTGCCTGGGGAGGGGGGGGCTGTGACCCATTGGTGCCCTCAGGGGGGTTTGGGGGACCCCCTCGCTCGGGGTCAGCACCGACACACCTCCCACCCCCCCTAAATGTTTTGGGGACGCTTTGGGGCAAGCCCCGCTGGGAGCCGCCCCCACCCCTCGGGAGGGGTCATGGGTGGGCCCCCCGGGCCAGCCCCGCTGGGGGCCGCGGGGTGTCCCCCCCGCCCCGGTGCTGTTGTCTGCGGGAGGGTTTATTCAGCCCGGCTTAGCGGGCGCTGAGTCCCCGGCCGGGGGGATTAGGGCTCGGCCCGGCCATTGGCGCCCGCCGGAATCTGCCGGGGCTGCAGAGGCCACCACAAAGGGCTTTGCTGCGCTCAGCTCCCCGGCACGGGACGGGCTGACGGGGGGTCCCGGCCCCCGCCCTCGCCGAGGGCCCGCGGGGAGGGGGCACCCACCCGCCCGCAGCCCCGGTGCCGCGGTGCCGCCGCACACCGAGGGCGCAGGGCGGTGGTCGAGACCCCCCCCGTCCCCTCACAGCATCACTCCGCACCCACCTGCGACCCCAACACACCTTTAATCCCCCCACGGGGGAGAGGACAGTAAAAGGGGAGGGGGCACAGAGCCCCCCCATCCTGCGGGTGTCCCATGAAAGGTTCTGGCGGCAGCGAGGATCCGGTGTCAGGGTGTGGAGGATCGGGGGGCTGGGGTGGAGTGTGGGGGGCTCAGGCAGTGCCCTGCTCCTGCTGCTGGACCGGGGGGCCGTGGGCCACTGAGGAGGGGGACAGGCTGGGGGTCTCCACCAGAGCCACGTCCCGGCAGGCGAGGCAGGCACCCAGCTTCTCCCGGGAGGCTCCGGGCGCCAGGATGAACTCGTAGGAGAGCCCGGCCAGCACCGCGCCCAGCACCGGCCCCAGCCAGTACACCTGGAGGGGCACAGAGTGTTGGGGTGTCCCAGGGATGGGGGCTGCCCGGGGGGGTGGGAGGACAGGGGACCCCACCCCAGTGGTGGGGACTGAGCGGAGGAACCTGCCCCAGGGATGAGGAGCTGTGGGGAGGGGGCGTCACACGTTGGGGGTAGGGGGATTGGGGAAGGGGGCCCATCGCAAGGATGGGGATGAGGTGGGGTCTGTCCCAAAGGTGGCAGAGGGGGAGACAACCGTCCTGCGATGGTGGCACCATGAGGGCCCCAAGCTGGGGACACAGCTGAGGTCCCCGGGGGACTCACCCGAGGGAAAGGAAGACCAGGAACCGCTGTCCTGGGGCGGGGATGGGACCGCAGCGGTCACACGCTGCAGCCGTGGGACCCTCCCTTACTTGGGGACTCTGGGGGAGTCCGGGGGTGCCCCCAACTCACCCAGTGGTCATCCCAGACGCCGGTGACGATGGCCGGCCCCAGGGAGCGCGCGGGGTTCATGCTGCCCCCCGAGAATGGCCCCTGTGGGAGATGGGGGTCAGGGGCTGGTGGGGTGGGGACCCCCTGGGCGGGTGGGACATGGGGGGTCCTTACTGCGGCCAGGGCACCGGCGGCCACGGCGCTGCCCAGGGCCAGCCCGGCCTGCGGGGCCGCGTGCTCAGCAGCGGCGAAGGCGGCCAGCGCCAGCTGGAAGGTGGCGAATGTCTCCCAGGCCAGCGCTGTCCCCGCTGTCCCCACCGCGCTCACCTGCGGGAGGGACACCTGTCCAGTGTCACAGCATGAGGACAGGGATGGGAACAGGGACGGGGACACTCACCCTGGTGACGAGGCCGGTGTCGTCCGGCAGCGCTGCACGGGCAGCGGCAGAGGCCAGCGTGGCCCCCGCGCACTGAGCCAGGACCCCCGCGGCCCCACGCAGGGCGCTCAGCTTGCGGGTGCACAGCAGGGCCAGAGTCAGCGCGGGGTTGGCCTGGGGCCCCCCGAGGGTGCAGACGAGCCCCCCGGCCACCAACCCTCCGGCCAGCGCCGGTGCCATTGGCCCCGGGGCTGCCGAAGCCCCCAGGATCATCCCCACGAAGATGAGGGTCGCCGCCAGCTCCGCCAGCACCCCCCGCCAGAAGCGGCCGCTGCGCAGCTCCTGGGGGGACAGTGGGGCTGGGGGTCACCCCACAGGCACTGCCAGGAGGGGGTGGCACAGGGAGGGGATGACACGGGGGACTTGGGGATGCGGTATTTCGGGGGAGGTGCCCAAGGATTGGGGTGCCATGGTGACAGGATGCCCCAGTGATGGGGCACTTTCGTGAGGGGATCCCCTCAGCACCTGGGTACCTCTGTGGGGGGGTCCCTCGGTGATGGGGTGCTCCAGCAACAGAATGCCCCAGTTTTGGGGTACCCACGGGGATGGGGTGCCTCAGAGATGGGGTACCTTGGGGATGGCACCCCTCAGCACCCGGGTACCGCAGTGGGGGGTACTGGGACAATGGGGTGCCATGGAAACAGGATGCCCCAGGTACCACGGGGATGGGGTGCCTCAGAGATGGGGTACCTTGGGGATGGGACCCCTCAGTGCCTGGGCACTGCAGTGACAGGATGTCCTGGCAATGGAGTCACAGGGATAAAGGTGGGGTCAGCAGCCATGGCAGGGCCAGGGGCCACGGTGAGAGGCACACAGAGACCCCTGTGCAGGGACTACAGGCTGGGCACTCAAGTGACAGGCTTGGGGAGTCCCCATGATTTAGGGGCTGCTCCCCCATCCCCCTGGCAGGGAGGGACTCGGGGGGTTTTGGCTTTGGGGGGGGACAGGGGTCGGGGCCGCTCGCAGGGTCTTACCTCCCCGATGGCCATGGTGCAGCTGTGGGAGAGGGGAGCGCAGAGCACACCGGGCTGGGGGCACCTCCTGCCCCCTGGCACTGCCACCCCTGTCCCTGTCACCCTCCCGTTCTCCTGTCACCCCCCAGCACTGCCACCCCCCTGGCACTGGGCACCTCTGAGGTGCTGAGGGTGGGGAAGGACTTTGGGAGGGAGCTGTGGGGGTCCTTGGCTTGGAGCATCCCTTGGGTGCCATGGCAACCCCCGAGACACTTTGGGGTGTTGCCAGGACAACAAAAGATGAAAGGCCAGGATGAAAGGCTGGGGGGGATGAGGGGGGGTCACACACCTGGGATAAGAGTGGGGACAGGGCTGTCCCTGGGGGGGTCAAACACCTGGGATGAGCAGAGGGACAGAGTCCCGGGAGGGGCTGAGGGGGTCACAGGGTGACACTGACACACCTGAGATGAGCACGGGGACAGGACCCCGGGAGGGGCTGAGGGGGTCACAGGGTGACACTGACACACCCGGGATGAGCACAGGGACAGGACCCCGGGAGGGGCTGAGGGGGTCACACACCTGAGACAAGAGTGAGGACAGGGTCCCTGGTGGGGCAACAGGAGGGGTGACACATGTGGAGCGTGACAGGGACAGCGCTGTCCCTGGAAGGGGGACCAAGATGGGTCACACACCTGGGGCAAGAACTGGGGACAGGGCTGACCCCGGGGGGTCACACACCTGGGGCAAGAATTGGGGTCCGGGCTATCACTGTTGTGTCGGGTCCCGGAGGGGGCAGCAGCAAAGGGGGTCTCACACACGTGACAAGAGTGGGGACAGGGCCCTTGAGAGGGTCACACACCCAGGACAAGCTGGGGAATGGGACTGTCCCCGGGGGGGTGACACACCTGACACAATTCAGGGACAGGGGTATCCCGGGGAGGGGGTGACACACCTGACACAGTTCAGGGACAGGGGGGGTGACACCCCTGACACAATTCAGGGACAGGGCTGTTCCCGGGGGGGTGACACACCTGACACAATTCAGGGACAGGGGTATCCCAGGGTGATCACACACCCGGGGCGAGCTCGGGGCTGAGCCCACCGTGCGGGGGTGGCGGGAGGGGTCTGGGGGGGCCAGCCCCGGTGCCCCCCCGGGCCGAGGCTCTGCCGGCTCAGCAGCGGCCCCGCACGTGGGGTGAGTCAGCGGGCGAAGCCCTGGCTCAGCACGGGGGGGGCCCGGCGCTGCTGAGCCCGGCAAAGCCAGAACAATCCGCGGCCACAAAGAGCTGGGACAGCGCCGGGACACGCGGGGGGACACCGGGGGGACAGCACTGGGGGGGGGGGGGGGGC